AACCCTCCACTACCTGTGCCCTGTTCCCCTCTGCTCCCTACACACAGAACTCATCAGGAAGCACGCCATCCCCAGGGAAAGACTTCCACAGCGGAGGACATCATGTTTCTGGAACTAAGAAACCCATTCGAAGTAAAAGCTTCCAGCTAAATCTATGAAAGAGGAGGTATCCCAAAGCAGAGGGGTCTGGAACTAGAGAACCCTATTACTGCTTCTGTTCTCAGGCCTTGTGGTTGCTGGCTGAGGTCCACAGTATTAGAGACACGACGCAGGACACACAGCTTCCCTGCTATCTGCAGAATTAAAGCTCTACTCCATGTGCTGACCTGAGACCCCTAGCAAGAGCTGAACTTGAGAAAGGAAGTTGGGAGATGGCAGGGGAGGACATAAGTAAGGGGCCAACCACAGGTGGCCCCAAGCAAAGTCAAAGGAAGGCCCCATTTTGCTGGCAGGACTGGCACGGAAAGCGGGAACTTAAGGTTTTCCTGTTCTTCCATCTGCACTTGGCAGCCCTCGGGCCTCCATGTCTTCTCACTGTTGTCCTCCTTTGGTGTACAGAAATGCTGGTGAAGATGGCACGTCAGGAGGTCTCCAGTAAGTGTTGGGTCGAAACATGTAAATCAATGCTCCTGTCATCAGAAACGTTGTACCTGCTCTGTCTCCTCATACACGTGCACACACACAATACACACACACACACACACACGCCACTTTCAGCTAAGACTCAGAGTCAACTCAAGACACAACGGCAATATGTCACTCTCTCAGCAGCTGGCCAGAAAAGGTCCTCACCTTCCACCCCAACCGCTTTTATCTGTGCTTGTGGACCCCCCAAGCCTGGGCCGGAAGGAACCATTGGCCAAGAGGCAAAAGGAGTCCTCAGCAAACACCACCAGCAGTTGACAATGACCTGCCAGCTTGCATTGAATGTTCAAAAGTTTCTGTTCTTTCTCCCAAATTGGGGTAATTACTTCCAAGTGTCAGGAAATTTAAATTCTAGGAAGAATTTAATCACTCATTTGTTCTCTCAACAAGTATTTCTTGAGTGTCTGCTGCTTGAGTTACTGCCCTTTGCCTTCTGGTAGAACAGGAAGTGGAAGATAGACATTCTTGCCCTTGTGATTTATACAAATGACAAAAACATAAAGAACGACATCCTGGGAAATGTATGGGGTAAAACAGAGCAAGACAGATGACAGAAAGAGTTTGGAAGCCATCATTTACACAAGACTCTGATGGAAAAGCTCCCGAAGGAGACCATCAGTTGCATGCCGGAGGCCATGCTATCATAGGAGGGAAGGTGGAGGTGAAGACCCTAAGGCAGGAGTTTGCTTTGATGCATTTACAGAAGAGCCAGGAGGCCAAGGCAAATGAAGCAGAGGAGAGGAAAGGAGCAGCCAAAGGAGTCAGAATCAGGACATTTTGGGGTGCTGAGAAGCAGCATCGGAATTCACTCTACATATAATGGAATACATTGGGGAGGGTTTTGTTGTGGTGATGGTGGTTTTAGAAAAGGGGGTACAAAATCTGTTTTTTTTTTTTTTAAGAGCTCCCTATTCCTATGACTCTTACCATAAAATTGAACAAATGAGAGTAAATGTGGAAGCAAAGAGAATACTTGGGAAAAGTCACAGTCATCCAGAACACAGAAGCTTGGGGTGGTGTTGGAGGTGAGAGGTTGATGGCATTCTAGCTAGTCTCAAGATAGAGACCCTAGGATTAGATGTGGCTGCAATAGAAAGGGAGCTAGCAAAAGGACCCCCCAATTTTTGACCTGAGCAAATGAAGAAACCATTTATTGAAATGCATGAAAGACTGCAGGGAGCGGTTTGGGAAGATGGGTGATCAAGAGTTTTGACCTGGATGTGTTAACTCGTGATGCCGGGAGGCCACCCACAGTGCAGTGGCTCAAATGAACCTGGAATGCTGGGGAAAACCAGGGCCAGAGATAAGAAGTGGATGTCATTACCATATAGAGGATGTGATTATGGATGCTCTTGGTGAATGAGGGTAATCTGGCACAGAGAGGTTAAGGAGACCATAACCTTGGCATAAGAGCAACACAACAAGACAAGTGATGGGAAGCACCTGTCACTTGTTTTAAGCAACTCCGTCTTGGTCAGAATATGGGGAAACTGGATTATCACATGCCACTAAAGAGGGTGTCATTTTGGAGTGAGGTGAGGCTGTTAGTTTCTACTTACTAATTCCAGGAATACTGATTTACCTATTCTTTCCCCATCTACCATTTATAACTTCACGCCAAGAACTGTTCTAGACACTAAGACTCTATTGATTTGAAAATGCGCCCTCACAATGTTCACACTTGAGTTAGGATCCTATCACGACATTCTTTCAAGGAATTAAACTTATACGCAACTAAACATTTAAATAAGGGGTTGAGCAAGTAAAACATGTACATTAAAAATTATGTTCAAGGGCCCTCCCTGGTGGCGCAGCAGGTTAAAGCACAGCACTAAGAAGCGTAAGTCACTTTCGCATGAGTTAGATCCCCACCTGCCCCAGAGGAGATCCACATGGCGTGGCAGACCTCTCCTGACCCGCCCGCTGCTCCCCTCAGCAGTGTACTTCGCCAATCTGCCTGTTCTGCTCCCTACTCTGTCCCTGGTGAATCCTCTCACCCTCCGCATCTCTGGCCGGTACCCCAGTTCTGTATGAATAAATAAATCTTAAAAAAATAAAAATTTAAAAAAAAATTATGTTCAATCTGCAATCTGCAATAATCTGTCTTCTATCCCAGAACTTCAGCACCTATGAAGAGACACAGGGGCGCTGAGAATCCAGTTCCATGGCCTGGCGGCACCGCCCCACCCCCTGCCTGCTTCCCATCTGGAAAGCAGCTACGTCATGAGCAGGTGCCTGCATCACTTCAAACTTTCCAACATGCTTTTAACCATCATGAGTTCTAACCGGGTCAAGGTTTACTGTCCCTGCCCAAACACCAACAGTACTGGGTTGGTGAGGGGGGAACCATCGGGGTTCTGAAAAGGAAACAGAACCACTTGAAGATGCAGGCAAACACAACGTGCATAATATACCCACACATGGATATGACAGATTCATTTGAAGAGTTTTATAAGCACAACTGTGCTGTCTGGCAAGCTGAAGTCCACAGGGCAGGCCAACATACACTGGACACCAAATCAGGAGGCGGCCTAAGGGCAGCATTTCCTCTTCCTTGGGGACCTGGGCCCTCCCTCAGTGATTAGGCCTCCTTACATTTTAAGACACCATCTACTTCATTCAACAACTATTGATTTAAATGTTAATCTCATGGCTTAAAAAAATCTTCTCATGGTGACACCAGAGAGGTGTTTAATCAAAAACTAGCCACATGGATTAACCAAGCTGACACAAATCTAGCTAAACACCATGCTAGCCATGGAGTGCATGCCATTCGTCACGTACACAGAAGGTTCTGTGTTACAATGGCCTGTATTAGGCCATCGTCTGACCCTTTGGGAGCTCTGCCTTGTTGAGAATATGCTAGAGAAGATTATGTCCTCAGAGACAGGGCTGTCTTTAATCCCAGGAAAAAGTTCTTCCTTCATTTTCCTAGATTCTTTTGTGTTACTTCTTCATTAATCTCAGGGAACATGCCTTGCTGATGGAAATTATTAACAAGTAAGAGAAGGAACAGGTATAAAGAAAACGACACAGCGGGAGAGTGTTTACAAAGCAGGGCCATTGTGGCCAGGGTGACAGGGGACAAAAGCGTTGTCCTGGAGCACATGGAAGGAAAGTGGATAGGAGCAAGTGATCACAGTAACAGGTTCCATGAACGATGTCAAGTTTAAAAGAAAGGAGGGAAAGTGCAGGAGTAGAACAGGCAAGGTAGGGCAATTTAGTCAGACACATTATAAAACCCAAAACATACATTTGAATTCTGAATCCTGCCTATAAAAATATGCATGGAAAACTCTTAAGAATTCAGATTCTTTCATATCGTCTTGGGATGCCAACTGCCATGCAAAGGATAAGGACAAAGTCAGCAAAGGCAGACGTCTCAGGTTACGGAAAGATTGAGTTGAGAGAGCAGAGTCACAATGCCAGTGTCAGCAAGAGTGAATTTCTCTCTTCATCCCAGAGAGGGACTCCAGAGCCATAATGAGCTCCTGCATGAAACTGGAGGTCCATTCCCTGGAGGGAGCCCTTCTCTTTTAGGTCTTTCTACTACCTTAGGCTATAAGACTAGTCTGAAAAAGTGGCCTTGTCAATAGTGAAATAAACATTCTCTTTGGTGCCGAAAATATCTGATTTTGGGAGGCCAGCTGCCTACAGGAGTTCCCTAGAATTAAAACACCGTCCGGCGCTGGGGAGTTTGGGGCAGCTGGCAATCTTAGGCCTCTGAGAACAACAGCGATGCCCTTGAAGTTAAGAGAGATTCAACGATCACCATGTCTTCATGTCTCCTAGTGCTAGGCCTCAGCCCCCCATTGTCCCCAGTAGCCCACCCACCTCGCAGGATTGGTATTGGCCCCTGGAAAGTTCCCATCACCCTCAATTCCTAAGAAGTCTTCTGATCAACCCCACCACCTGAATGTATTATAAGGGATCAAGAAAATGTGTCTTAAACCTAAGAGATCTGAAATCTCTTACCGTACAGAGGTTCTTGCAAGACTAGGGGAGCAGTGATTGAAGCCAGAGTTACATACAGCAGGAAAGACAGGCGAACAATGGGGTGGACCAGAAACCATTTTTTGTTAGTAGGGAAGAGTAAAGGCAGCTTTTGCGGTCCTGGCCATTTTCTCTGACACTCAGAAAATGAGGAAGGATTATCTAACTCCTCTCCCAGACGCTCACGCTCTAGCCAAATGTTGACTTTTTCCATAGGAAAACAAACTTCACCTCAATGAGGAAAGATCATAAGTGGGAAGGTTAACTGGGTGATTGACTGCCTGATCTGCTTGGCAGCATCCCCACTTCCGTGCCTAGCATATAAGAAGTCAGCTGGGCACCTGGGCTCCGCTGCTCTAGGATATCACTCTCTGTCCCCTTCAGGATGCTCTCTCTCCAGCAGCTGCTCAGGGCCAGCCACGCCATCCTGTTCCTGGTTTTCTGCCTGCATCTCGGGTTCAACCATGCTCAGACAGCCATGTGAGTCATCCCTTTCTCCTCCTCACAGAAAATCTTGCAGGGAGGGCTCCTGTCCTAGCCTAGAAATCTACATCTGCCTTCCTGGGAAGCCCCACCTTTTCAGAGCTCTAGTGCCAGGAGCTCTCAAGGACCCAGCCAAAGCTCCACTTCTCCCAGGGGGCCCCATGCACTCCCCTCACATTCCCACAGTGCTTCCAGCCTGGCCGCGTAAGGCCACAGTTGCACATGTTGAACTGTAGCTAACGATTAGTTCGGCTCTAAGGCTCTTATCCACATCCTGTTCTTGGTCCACAAGTCCGCTCGCCTCAACTGCTGAGAGTTTGGCAGGTCGCGACTTCCAGCAATAGCTTTGGACAATGTTGCCAGGACGCACTGAGGGAGCAGGGCCATGGATCCTTGGCCCTGTGACGAGAGGCTGAGCAAGCCCAGCCCCTTAGACACCCTTCCTATTCTGAACCCAAAGATGACTGGAGGAAACCATCCCCAGCGCTATCCCCACCCACACCAGGACGCAGGAGCACCGGCACACATGTTGTGTCAGAAAAGTGAAACAGAACAATGAAGCTGGGCTCTGGGGTGACACAGACACACTCAGCACACCTGGCAGGTCTTCCCAAGGAACAGGCATCGGAATGCTGGGCTTCTGGCCGCAGTGACGGTGGTACTCTCGCGCCCTGTCCCAGAGGAACCTATTCAGGCTTTTGACGGGTTGGTCTAAAGGAGCCAGAGGGCCCTAGAAACCCTAAGGGAGGCAGGCTTGGAGACAGAAATCAGCGGATGGTTAAAATAAGCTATGCGAGTTAGGGTCACCAACTACCCCAGTTTGCCCAGGAATTTTTGGTTTTGGCACCAAAAGGTCCTTCATCCCAGGAAACCCCTTGCAAATTGGGTGAGTAGCCACTCCAGCCCAGCCATTCATCCCACCAATCCTAAATCTACTTACAAAAGGGAAGACTCAGAAGACCCTGAAGTCTTCACACCCCTTCCCTGTGTGCTGAGCCCTGGAGCAACTGGAATGAGAGATGGAATCACTTTGAGATCTGAGGTGCTTTTCCCTAAGAATATGGGATTGTGAAGAAGCACTGTAGGCCCCAAACACTCCTGCCTCACCAACCCCACTGGTGCTCAGCCAGGGGTATCTGGAAAGAAAAAGCAACTGGAGGTTCTGGCTGGGGCCCTCACTGACAGAACATCAGAGTATTCTTTCTGCTCCATTTCTCCTTTCTGGTTGATGGTAAGATGTGGCCTGATGTAGGATGCATCTCAATCCCCAGAGAGCAAAATAAATAGGTTCCTAGACCCCACCAGGAAGTAAAGGAGGAGCTTCAAGAATGTCCTCCAAACTCCTCTATTGCATTGAAAGGTTGTGATTTCACATGATTCTGTCGGTATAAAGTTTTCTACTCATGGTGACTTGAGTCTTCCCAGTGAATGGCCAGTCAGCAGAACCCAAAGGATCTTACTGGAGAATCAACTATGGTGTTGTATTTTGATCCTTTTTTGCTTCAATTTTTGTTAAAGGAAGGAAAGAGGCACAGCTGTAAGTAAAGAGCCCACATGGCTTTATTAAACAGAACGAAACCTGTGCTCAATCAACTCAAGTCCCCGGGAGATTCGGATGCTCAGCAATCAGTCCAGCACCCACCATTCCCCATCCCAGTAGCAGTCCAACACCCACCATTCCCCATCCCAGTAGCAGTCCAGCACCCACCATTCCCCATCCCAGTCCCGTCCCGGCACCCTCCTGCTCAGTCTGTCTTGCCTATTAGGCCCCGTGGCTTGTGGGTTGATCTCTGATCTCTGGTCTGCTTCCCTCTTCCCCAAACCAGCCCAAAGGTGATAGAAATGAACGTGACCATGCCTACCATCGTGCAAGCAGGTGAAAATGTGGATGTGATGCTTAGTGTGAAATCACAATTGAACGAATGCATGGTGGTAAGTAGAGGTCTACACAACTCTGGCTTCTAAATTACAAATTCAGTTAGATTAGTCTCTCTTTAATATTGCACAGCATCATTAATTGTGATGAATAAACATTCTCCTATCTGTCATCTACTTGAGCTTCACGGGAGCTTGGAGCCTGTTGCTCTTCTCACATCAGAAACAAAGAAACCCTGATAGAGAGACCTCTAGAAAGTCTAGGAGGGATGAGAAAGAATGAGAGGTGAGGAAAACACACTAAGAGAAAGAGGAGGGGCCTCCAGGGCCTAGGGCTTAAGACTCACTGCTACCACCGTGAAGGCCTGAGTTCAACCCCCGGCCAGAGAGCTGACCCACATGGCGCAGCAGACCTCTCCTGACTCCCCCCAAGGCTCCCCTCAGCAGTGTATCTCAACAAATTTACCTGTTCTGCTCCCCACTCTGTCTCTGGTGAATCCTCTCACCCTCACACCTCTGGCCTACACCCCAGTTCTTCTACACAAAAATAAATGTTAAAACCTTTAAAAAAAAAAAAAAGAGGGAGCTGAAGAAAGTAAAAGTATAAGAGCATCAGAGCCTTGGTAGACTTGGGAAGACTTGGGAAGAGCTGCTTCAAGGTCCTGGACATGGTTCTTTGAGCTGAGGGGTGGGGTAGACGGGGACTTTCAGAAGGGAAAACTGCAACCCCATTTCACGGGTTGAGGCAAGGAATGAGGTCCAATTCCTGAACGAGAGCCACAGTTCTCAAGTTGTAACATGCAGGGATATTCCTTGGAATCTTTAAAACGCAGTTTCTGCATTTCTGGGGCGACACCAGAGCTTTTGTATTCCTCAAAGTCTCCCAGGCCATGACCACGCTGGGGTCCCAAGGACCATACTTGGAGTAACAAAAGGTTAGAATGTGACTGCTCCAGGCCAAGAACAAAAGGTTCTGTGTGGGCTCAACACAGAGAGACGCTTGCCAGGAAGCGCATGTCTTACACCAGCTCACCAGGGGCCCTCACAGGTCAGAGGGGTGCCCCTGGCCTTTGTGAACCACCTGTGTCCAGGGCCAGGACAGGTGTGTCCCCACCGCCTTCAGGAAGGTCACTTTGCAGTGTGCTTCCCTAAGGCCAGCGCTTGCTAACTCCAGCTAGATATAAGAACAATGATTGAACTGAAACCAAAATTGGGAGCGGATGGATTCCAGTTCATTAAAATGGATTCTAAAAATGGCCCCACGCAGTACAAGAAAGATTTCTGATCACTGAGCAAAGAATAACATGGCTACTTTGTCACAATTTCTAAGTGTCAGGATCACAGGGGAGTTTAGATTTGGCACTGGCTGGGTGTTTTGTACAGATTTAGTTTTAGTTAATAAAGCAAGTTGGTCATCTTTCCTCCCATTAACAAAAAATAAAGTAAAAAAGGATAAAAGTACAATACTATGTATCATTTCCTAAGAATGTTCAAGAATTAATTTGGGGTGAGAGGTAGCGGCGTCATAAATTTTCAATACTGTGTTTTGTTTATTTTTGCCACAGGTGAGAAAAGGAATAAGAATGTGTACTTAAAAGTTTGTGATAATGACAGTCTGGTGATGATAGGTCACAAAAGTCTATTTTGTTCCCTCAGAAAGCGACAGGCATTGAAAAATTAGTTTTATCACCAAATGACACTAATTTTTAACAGGAAGTGATCTAATTCTATACTACTGTGATTAATAAGATTCTGTTTAAAAGTCAATGTTAGTGTACTAAAATAAAGTTATCTTTTTAAAACCTACCCAAGCATAAGTAAAGGGCAGGAAGTCCATAGAAATAATGATATTAATAATTAGAAAGAATTGATTCTAGGAAATGTTAGTTCTGGCCCACCAATTTTTATTTGTAGCTTCCTATAAAAGAGCATATATACTACAGAGCACATTCATATTTTTAAAATGTTAGGAAAATAGAATTTGTTTTTTATGTGCAAACCTGCTAGCACCTAATCCTCATTTTTTAAAATCAATTATGATGTGCTTGCAACTAAATTACTTATCAAGTGAAATCTGAAGACCATAACTATAAAATTTAAATAGGATAGATTATACTCTCAATCAAGTATTTGAATAAACAGCACATATAATCCTTTGTGGTGGAAGAAAACTTGTAATAAATTACAATCGCTAATGCTGATCTCAAAAGGTCTATGGCATGTTTATCAGACAATAATTTTCAATGTTTAAATAAAATGTATTAAATGACACAGGAAAACCACATTACCGAAAAACAGTGATAAAATTATTTAAAAGTTATTTGTGATACAGTAATATTTCTTTAACCACATAATAGCCAAAAAAGGCAATAAGCTTAAAATGTACACATTAAATGTTATTCTTTAATATTTATAAACATTTATTATTTGTGATGGATGCTGTTGTTTCACTTAATTAAGTACCTTAAACCATGTACTGGCCTTCCCAACAAATTACATGTGTACAAGTGAGCATCTCCTGGGTTTTGATTTCGTTGCATTGATGATTCCATTTTTGAAAATTCTAATTCACAAGGACATAGTGTTCCAGACATAATACAAAGGTCCATAAGGCAAGGGTAGGCTTCTCGGCAGAAACACCAGGAGGACTCAAAATCCTCTGAGCGAGATGCCAATGGTGTGATCACTTGAAATCACTACCGAGTCTGAGGGGCAGAGGGTATGGTTGCCAGTCACTTGGGCAAATGGCCCCAGCCATGGCCAGCCCACCATTCCGATAGCTCCCCTGTGGTCAAGGTGGCGATGACAGCAGATAATACTTAGCCAATCTGTCATGTGGCAGGAACATATGTGTTCTCCCCGTGATTAAAGCCACACACACTGCTAAGGCCACGGAGGCTTGCTGACATACCCCTGACAAAGGGGGTGCGCTAAGGGGTTCAGTGAGATAAAGAAGCACTTTCTCCCCAACTGAGTTCACACACTCACTGAACTCTACCCACAAACCCCTCTGGGCCTGTGAACCCCAAGATGAAAGCTCTGTGCTGAACATGAACTAGACAATACCCACAAACCCCTCTGGGCCTGTGAACCCCAAGATGAAAGCTCTGTGCTGAACATGAACTAGACAATACCCACAAACCCCTCTGGGCCTGTGAACCCCAAGATGAAAGCTCTGTGCTGAACATGAACTAGACAATAGCTCCCCAACTCCACTGCAACTTACACAGAACTGGGATTCGAATCAGAAAAGCTCACTCAAGTTAAAGAAGGAAAAAGGGAACTTACCTCCAAGATTTCCTTTGCTTATCGAACAGTCAGGTTTAGGGCACAGTCATGTCCATCTTACTGGAAACACCAAAGGTCAGAGAGTTAATGAGAGCCCCGCCAAGCTCTGGTCACAGCATCGGCAGCAGGGCCTGGCTCTGCCTTCTTCACCAAGTCAGCTGAAGTTGCAGGTGAGCGCCTGAAGCCTTGGCCAGGTAACTAGGCAAGCCTGCTCCCCAGGTGAACAGCTGCTCCAGCATCAGTTCTTCTGGCCCTGTGGATTCACTCACCTCTTCCCTCCCAAACCCTAAGTTCACATGACTAAAGCAGAAATTCGAGTTGAGGAAAGCCGAGTGGACTTCAACTCCTGAAATGATACTCCAAAAGGAAAGCCCCCATATGGCTCTGCTCTGGCCCACTCCCCCCAACTCTTTGTCTACTAAGACTCTCCCTCCTCCCCCTTCCGCTACCTCTTTCACCCTCTTTTTATCTCTTTCCCATCCTCAAACTAACATTGGGTTCATTCTTTCTCCTCAGATATCAACATACCTTAGAACTCCAACTCCACAAGAAGGTTCTTTTAACTATAAATACACTGCCTGTCTCTGTAACGATTATCCAAGAAAGTTCTTCTGGGATTTTCAAACCAACGGTAAGTATTGGAGCCTGGCAAAGAAAGAATTTCCCATGAGGAAGGGAAAACCACGCAGGGAACCTTGGCTCTGGGTCTCAAGCAGAAGTTGGGGCAGAAAGGAAGTGCTGAAGGCCAGGAACAAGGGAGATAGTTTTGCAAACAATTTGGGGAAACTGAATCCTAACAAGAGGTGCCTGACACTAGTAGACACTAGTAGATAAGAAACTGGGGGTTATCAGGAGTGATCGTTGTTCTTGTCTCTTTCAGACACCTTGGCTATAAGTATCATGGTTGATGTTACCAGAGAAAAAGGTATTTGCCCCAACGACAGAGCAGTGATGCCAATTACTGCAAACCGTTTCATCCTCAATCGTGGGCTAATAGTATACTAATCTTAGTGGAAGCCCTTGTCTCTGACTCTCTGCGGGAACTCGGCAGGAGGACCTGCCATGGTCTATAAAATAAACTTCTCATATGCTTCTCTGTGTTCTGTCATATCTTCCCACCAAAATCTATCTCAGAGAACCCCCAGAGTACCCAGAATTTCTATAGCTTTGGTCTTTCAAAGACCCTTTACTGAAGAGAGTTCATGGGTTCTCACTGCCCATTGATAGGAAGAGGGAAAGACAAAGAGACGGAGAAGAGAGGGGCCATACTTGGTGGAGGCTCTAAAATTCAAGATACATGAGGGGCCAACCAGGATAGGTACCCAAGATTCCTGACTCCTTGACCCTCCCCCACACCACTGCCCCCCTCCAGGCCCTACCTCGTATCCCAGGAGAAGGGGGTTGCCCTGCATACAGCAGAGTCAGAGGCAGAGCCAGTCTTCCCTGGAGTACCAGTTTGCCTTGTATTCTGTGAAAAGTGAGACTAAGTGATATGTGGGGACATCAGGCTGCACAGAAACATACTAGGTTGATGATGAGTGGGTCTGGAGGGGCTCTATCGAAGAGGAACTGGGCTTTCTGAGAAATGGAAATCTGAGCTAGGAGGCTGGGCAGAAAGGGGGCAGAGGGCTTCTAGCAGACAGAACAGCAGGCACCAAGAACCCCAAGCATGAAGGGTGGCATGTGTAGGGTAGGTGGGCACTTTGATATTGGGTAGGATCAAGGCAAAGTCGGGAGGGCTAGAGAAGAGCCTGATGAGGGGACAGAAGCAAAATCAATGTGTCTGGGAAAGGGGGCAAGACCATATCTTCTAGACCAATGATTCTAAGTGGCATCATAATCCAGGAGAGAGAAACATCAGCACTGAAGGAGATCACTTGATGTGTTCATTACAGTTCATGAGTATTGATGGTCTGCATCGATTCAGCAATGTGCTGAATAGTTTTACTTTCATGTCCAGTAACATGTATCATATGCCATGTGTGGAGTATTATTCAGTCGTGAAAAAGATGTTCTGCCATTGGGATATGATGGAATTATGCTAAATAAAATAAAGCAAACAAATACTGTAGGACATTACTTATATGTGGGATCTAAAAGGACTGGACCCAGAAGCAGAGAGCAGAGTGATGGTTACCACGGGCTTGTTGGTGGAGGGACTGGGGAAATGCTGGTATGAGAGCACAAACTTCTTGTCAGAAGATGATAAGGCTCTGTAAATCTAACACACAGTACAGTGACTACATTTAATAATACTGTACAACATTCTTGAAGTTTGCTAAGAGACCTGAAATATTCTGACCACATAAAATACGTAGTATGTGATGTGATGGAAGTATGAGTATGGTGACAGTCATTTTGCAATATGTAAGTTTATCAAATCAGCATATTAAATATGCTTACAACACATGCTATTTGTCAATTAGATCTCAATAAATCTGGAGACCTTTTAAATAAAATTTAAAAACATACTCATTATTTATTCATTCAGTAAATATTTACTGAATTTTTACTTGGCTTTACAGATATGAATAAGGACTTTTTATCCTGATCTTCTTAAGTTTATATTGTTTATGGGAATTAGACAACAAGCAAGTACATGTTATTCTCAACCTTATTTAAGGGAAAACTGAGCTGAGATAAAGTAATTTGCAAATAGATAGTAACTGAGCAGAGTTAGGATTTGAACCAACCATGCAGGCTGACTCTACACACACACACACACCCTCCTGTCTTAAGTGGGCCTCCTCAAACCTTCAGCAAACGGCACTGCAAAATTGCATGTTTTACCTCCTGTTCTATTCCGTGCACACCTTTACCTCTTGATACCTTTGTCCACCAACACAACTAAAACTTAATTGTCTAGAGCAGCTCTGTCAGTAAAAGAAATACATTTTAAGCTACATATGTAATTTAAAACTTTTTCTGATAGTCACGTTTTTAAAAAGGAAGCAGAAGTGGTGAAAATCATGCAAAGATTTATATCCTAAGTGTTATATATATATATATCCTAAGTGTTATTTCAAGATGACATTAATAAAAATAATCATTTCGGAGATAACTTTGGATTCATTATTTCTTATGAAGTTTTTGAAACACACTGGGCAGTTTACATGTACAACACACCTAAGCTGAGCTCACCTCATTTCCAGGGCTCATTTCCATGGCCAGCGACTACCATACAGGTAGTAAATGTTTCCTCCCGCAGAGAGTTGATGGTCAGGAAAACCTACAGCCTCACAGAGAGGGCTTCTGTCAGCCCTGGGCATTGTCCTGCCTACTGTATATAGATGGGTAGCGAAGAGCAACAGTCAGGCCATAGGGTGTGTTCCGAAGAAATTCCTGTACTGTTTTTTTTTTCATTTTTTTATTTCTGTACTATTATTGACACACTGTTGTTCCACATCCTTGCCAGTGTTTCAAGTTTCTCTCTACTGCTTATCAGTCTCTAGAGTTTCTGCTCCCAAGCAAAGCAAATAACCCTGAAAGCCACTGTTTGCTCAGCTGTACAAGGATGATGAGCACATTTCATGCAGTCACAGGCCTCTCTCTGTCCTTGTTTTTGGTCATGGTATAGAAAACTCTATTTTTGCTCTAATTATTAGAAACGTCTTTTTGAAGATAGTGAGATATTCCGTGAGTCTGATTTTTCTTTCAAAGTGAACTTTCCTAGCACAGCAGGTCTTTGCTTTATCTCGGGTCACTCCCAAGTTGTTTCACGTGACTTACTTTACCTCCAAACACTCGCTTAATATGTAAACAACTTCAAAGACATTGGGCACTTTGGCTTTCCCTTGTCCCAAGTGAAATACTATGTCTGTCTCTTAAAAACAAAGCCAAAGGAGAAACTGAATTTTCTTCCATTTTACTAAAACAAAACAAAAATGTAGTTTCCTTTCCTTGCCATGGTTATTAGGTCAATAGATCTTCACCATTTTAGAATAAAAGTCACTGTCTTCAAATGTTCCTAAAACCACAGAGATGCCCAATCAATGCTTTCGTTGAATTGTGTTCATGACGATGCGTCGATGAATACCAACGGGAAGACGGCTGAGTTTTACAAGCATCATAGTTCTGCTGCAGAACTGATGATCACTGGTTATCTGTTTTCCATATCTCCCAGTCAGATACTTTTCACTGCGGGAGAAATGTATTGAGTGCATACAAGAAAATACAACTGTCCTAAGGGAGAAATCAGGTTTACAAATTCACTCCTCTGATAAAATGTACCAATACTTATTGGGCCTTTTTGGGGGAATAAAAATAGCATTTAGGTAAAGGGTAAGTCGGGGGGAAAGGTCATCTGACTAAGTTAGCATTAATAATGATCAATGTCAAACTAAAGAGAAAAATAAAATTAAAATTAAAATAAGAAGACTGTTATAAGAAAAAAAAAAATTTCCAATCACTCAAGAGGAAAAACTGGTGGGAAGGGATCGAGAAATATTGAATTAATTAATAACAATTAATAGACTAAGAATAGGTTCATATGAAAAGGTGTTTATTGATGATTGTTGTTGCAGTGCAAATGAGTCAAGAACTAGAGAAATAAACAGGAAGCTTCTAGAAGGATGTATGAGAAATAATTACTGTAACTATCTGTTGATTATAAGATGAAGGAATGAAGTCATTTTTCAGCTTACCTGCTCCTTGAATTTATGTCAAAATAGTTGCCCTAAAAAGAATCAAAAGACATTCTGTAAATGAAAATTGCAACAACTGAAATGAAGAACCCAATGCACAGATTTAATAGCACTTTGGATGCAACTAAGGAAAGAATTAGCAAAACTGAAAACAGATAGAATTATAATTCAGAGTGCAAAATAGAGAAAAGAAAGATGGATTCTGCATAAAATACGAATGAATAGCTAAAAACTACCTGCCCTGATCTTGCTTTCACTTGGCCTAGGTCTCGCTCTCAAGGCCTATTTAGCTCCAACACTCCAGACCCCTAGAACTCCGTAAGAGAGAAGAGCAGCAATCTCAATGGTTCCAACTCTCCCACTTCACTCTCCATCTGACACAAGAATCTTGGCTTGTCCATGATTGTTCCACTTGGATGTCAGGTGGGCAATCCATGGGTCCCAGTCACCCTACCTCTAAGTCGAAGTTGAAGGGAAAGCAGCTCTCCCTGCCCTGATTAGTTAACCAAGCATATGACTTCTACCACTGGTCTCCCATTACCTCTTCCCATGTTGCTCTTGGGACACACAGACTCCTCAGGTGTGAGGTCGCACAAAGAGGGCTTTTGTAAGGGATGGCACTGGCTCACCCTTGCTTTCTCCACTCCCCAAGCACCCTTCCCTCCCCCCTCGTCCCTTCTTGCTTCCATTTTCCTGCCTGGGTGACCTCAATCCTGAGTGTTTCTCTGGTGTTAAGTCCCTGCTTCTCTGGCCATATCTTGATAGAACTTAATTTCAGCAAACTTGTCAACTTTTCAGATTGTTGCTTAGAATTCCTATCAACAATACCCTTTTATCCATGGTAGACAGCAACTCTGCCATTAGCTGTGGCAAGCGAATCCTCTTGTGAAGTGCCTCTGGTGATGGCCAGGGACCCAGCCTCTGCCCACTGCTCCTGTGCAGCACCCACCACCGTGAAGCCCAGCCCCTGGCTGAGATCACATAGTCATGTACCCCCTGCCTCTGTCCTGGGTCTCTCACTGCCTCTGATGGATGTTTCCTACAAACAACCGCTGCGCTCATTCAACCTCATTTGATTTGAGCATCAAAGCTGCAAACTCTCAGGATTTATGCGGTGGTCGCACTCCAATTTCTTCTCATGCCTGTCATTATGGAGGGTCACTGAGAGTGTCATTCATTAGCCAGCAAGTGCACTTGTAGTGCTCCGTTGGAGCCAGTACATCCTGGGTGTCGGGGATGGGATACCATGGTGAGCAAAACAAAGAGGCCAGGTAGCATCGAACTCTAAAGGCCCTTGACACATTTCTCCTCACTCACTTGGAAGCCTGAGTTAGCAGAAGTGATATGAGCCAATGACACGAAAGATAATCACTACATTCAGTAGTGGTTGGAAACAAGCATTGTAGCACTTGTTTATTACACTGTGTTCAAGGGAAACAACTGGAGTTCAAGAATAGGGAATAAAGATGAAATGCTAAAATTCATGACAACTGTTCCTGGGTCAGAAAAACTTCGTTTGCCTTGCTTAAAAGAAGCCTTTCAGAAAGAAAGAACCAAGTGTTAAGAAGAAGATTTCAGAGACATCTCACCTTCTCATTATTAGAATTACTTCACTAATGTGCTTTTAGAATTATCCAGTTTCCAGAGGGTAATAGTTATCATATTTGCCTAATTACTTTATAATTATATACATGAATAATTAACTATAATTATTTTATAGTTATATACATTCATAAAAGTTAATTTACTCCATATAATGGACCAGGTGAGAAAATAACAAGAATAATGAACAACCATATACCAGAGACATTTTGCAGGGGTGGAGTGGGGAATGGGATCAAAAACGGGGGTGGGGGTGGAGAGGGAAGTACATGGGATTATGGTGATGGCACATGGGTGACTTGGTGATGGTGATGGCACACGGGTGACTTGGTGATGGGAAACCGGTGGGGATTAAAATTGAGATGGGGGGGGGGGAAATGTACAAAATGATGTAAAACTAAACTATTATAAAAAAAAAAAAGTTCACTACAAAAAAAAAGAAAGTTAATTTACTCCAAATTGAGACCTCCTTTTATCATTGTGTGTCCTGTGCTTACATTTTAAAATCAGAAAAAAACTTCCCCAAGATAAAAGCGATTCTTTACTTCATCTCTTTTGGCTTTAAAATGCCAACATAGACTGAATGATGTGGAATACTGTTTTTAAACTAATACTGGTTAGCCTGCCTTTTAAAGGAATGAGACAACTTTTCCTTCAACTTATATTCCTAGTGTTTTGTTTATAATGAAAGATAAGTGTATGTATGTATATGTGGATGTGCAATTGTTAATATATATATATTTAAATATATATTTTTAAATTGGGGGGCAAGCCTGGTTTACAACTATGTATATATGATTCAGAGGCACAAGACCACGCCCTTCAATATATATTACCATACCACACACAGCACCAAGGAACCCATTGACCCCCACCACAGTTCATTGTGCCCCCCCCCAATAGCCTCAATTCTACAGGCAGATTTCTAAGGTTTGTTATGATTTGGTTTTAGTTGACGCTTTATTTTGTTTCTCTACACACTACATATAAGTGACATCAGTATTTATCTTTCTTCATCTGTACTTAATTTGTTTAGCATAATCCCATACAGCTCTATCCATACTGATTCAAATGGCAAGAGTTCAGCTTTTTTATGAATGAGTGGTATTTCACTGTGTATATATATTGCATCTTCTTAATCTACTCATCTGTCCATGGACAATTAAATTTTTCCCATACCGTAGCTATTGTAAATAGTGCTACAATGAACATAGGAGTGTATGTATCCCTTCAAATTAGTGTTTTTGCATTCTTCAGGTAGATACTTAGGAGTTGGATAGTTGGATAACATAGTAAAACTACAGTAAATATTTTGATAAATCTCCACACTGTTTTCCACAGGGGCTACATTCATGCCAACATGCAATAAAATTTCTTTTTTTCTACATCCTCACTGATACTAGTTGATTCTGGCCTTTTTGACATGAATCATTCACACAAGAGTGAGGTAATATCTCCTTGTGGTTTTGATTTACAATTTCCTAACTATAAGTGATTATGAGCATTTTTCCACTACCTGTTGGCCATCTGTATGTTTTCTTTGAAGAAGTGCCTAATATGCTCTTCTGCCCAATTTTTTTATTGGGTTATTTGTTTTCTTTTTCTTGGGTTATGTAAGTTCTTTGTAGATTTTGGATATCAGCTGTGTGTTGTGCAAATATTTTCTCCTATTCAGTAGGTGTCTTTGTTTTATTGACAGTTTCTTTCATTGTGCAGAAAACTTTTAGCTTGAAATAGTACCAACTGTTTATATTCACTTTGTTTCTTTTGCTGTTTGAGACAAATCTAGAAAGTCATCACTAAAGCCTATATCATAGAATGTTTTGCCTATACCTTTCTGTGTTTTATATGGTTTCAGATCATAGTTCAAGACTTAAATCCATTTTAATCCATTATTAACCCATTTTTAACCCATTATTTCTGTGCATGGTACAAGAGAATGGGGTAGTTTCATTTTTTGCATATGACTGTCTGCTTTTCCTAAGACCATTTAGTGACAATATTTTGCTTTCTACAATGTAAGCTATTTGCTCTCTCATTGTAGATTAACTCTCCATATAAATGTGGGTCTTATTTGTAGGCTTTCAGTACTATTCCATTGGTCTGTATGTCTGTTTTTGTTCCAGTACCACACTGTTTTGAATGCTATATCTCTGCAATATGGTTCAAAATCTGACAATGTTATGCCACCACTCTTCCCTTTTCTGTCAGGATTTCTTTGACTGTCTGATGTCTTTTGTGATTCCATATAAATTTCAGTAATATTTGCTCTATTTCTTTGAAGATTGCCATTGAAATCTTGATTGGGATTGCCTTGGATCTGCATATTGCTTTAGATAACATGACAACTTTGAACTCTGTATAAAATAGGAAGAAAAAAATCTTCCATTCTTTATAGGTGGAGTCTAGAGATTTGTTCACTCACTGTGGTGAAATGTTCCCTTAAAGATTCAAGGTTCCATGTGTTGTATTTTTCTATCTCCCCATTTTGTAGCTTCCTCAATGGTTATTTTCTCAAGTGTCTAAGGGTTCAGTACTTCATCTTTTCCAGAAGATGGTGCAGTATGTCAGGGAAAATTGATCTGCAGCTGCTGAGATAGAGGGTGGTGGAAACTCCTAGAGGGAGCCAGTCATTGGTGAAAGTGGTGTGCCACAGTGGCTCGTGTTTGTGGTGCTGAGAGCCTTCTTCTCTGGATTTCCAGACTCTGCAGTCTGGGGGATTGTGCCATCTTGCTTTACAGGATTAGCTCAAGTCTTAAAGGAGTGGGGGAGGTGGATCACTGTTTTGTACCCTGTCCTTTTCACTAGGAATCTGGTCCACATGGAACACCTCAGCTCCTCCACAAGTTATCTACTGTCGGCTAAGAGTACACTTCCACACTAATCAACTCTCCTTGCACAAAGCCTGCCGATCAAACATGAATACAACTGCCCAGCAGTTTCCCATTCTTGCTATATTTTCTGTGTATCTCGCCCACCCACTTTTTTTGCATAGAGTTGCATCAGTGTCCCTTATGGTGTAGTCAACACTGGTCTTTGATGTCCAAGAGATACTTTAGTTTTTCCCCAAGTTTTACCAGCCCCCCTCAGAAGACCTCCCTCTCTCCTCTGGACTATTTTCAGATTATTCTTCCAGCAGCAAAGCAGGGAACGTCCTCTGATGCCTCCTCCCTTCCATCTGATTGCTGCACATTTCTTTAAATCCAAGCAGTAGTATGGATTAAGGACAATGACAACGGAGTGCCCAAGGATTCTCAAAGACAATATTGAAACATCTTATCTAATGTGTAACTTTTAAAAATTTATCATTTCTCAAATAATTTGTTTTTCAAAGGCCTATCTTTTGAAAACTAATGTTTCTTGCATTATTCTTCCCTAAATGATGATGACATTATAAAAATCTCTCAGGGAAGGAAATGTTACAGACAAGTCAACCCTGTAGTTAGTCTTTGGCCTGCACAAAGTATCCACATGGGCCCTCCCTGGTGGTACAGCAGGTTAAAGCACAACACTAAGAAGCTAAAGACACTTCAGCATAAGTTCGATCCTGCCCAGGAGGTGATCCACATGGCGCAGCAAACCTCTCCTGACCTGCCTGCAGCTCCCCTCAGCAGTGTACTTCATCAGTTGGCCTGTTCTGCTCCCCACTCTGTCTCTAGTGAATCCTCTCACTGCCCCTGCACTTCTGGCCTATACCCCAGTTCTGTATGCATAAATAAATAAATCCTTTTAAAAAAAAGTATTCATAGGTCTGGGCAGTATAGTGGGAAAGCTGCCCAGTAATAAAGTGAGTTAGCTGAATGCAAGGTCTATTTGTGTGACTGTGGACAAGTTATTTAACCTCAGTTACATCATCTATAAAATGAGATAGTTAAGTATATTTTCCACAAGGCTGTTGTGAGGTCGACGATTTATTTATGTATCAATTACAGCTATAAATATAGATCTATAGCTATGTGTATAACACATAATAATAGTTACATCTATATTTTATCATTATTATTATTATTATTTAAGCAGTTCCCTGAGTTCAAAACCAAGTCAAACTAAATGAAGTGGTGACCCGATGAGCAAGCTTGAATAAATGGATCAGAAAGGACAGAGTTCTCGATAGCATGTTAATGATTTACAAAACAGAATCTACCTAAGTTCTTCCCTAGGTCCCATGACTGAACTAATACCAACATGTGAGTGGATTAGGAACCAAATCCCTCCATCATTTGCATGTCCAGATTTAGATTAGAGCTAAGAATTCTGAGTTAAACAAATGAAGTGAATTTGGAAATGATGCATCAACTGCTTCCTCCTGTGACACTACTAGTGGAAGTACTCAAGAATCTGCTCATCAAATGTTCTCCAGATACCAAGAGGAGAAGCAACTCAGGATGACTGAAACCTGCAATCCCCAGAGAATGGATTATCACCATTTCACACCATCTTGGTTTTAACAGTTATAGTAACTGAATGCATCATTGGTATCATTGCAAATGGGTTCATCATGGCTGCCCATGCAGCTGAATGGATTCAGAGTAAGGCAGTTTCCACAAGCAGCAGGAGCCTATTCTTCCTAAGTATATCCAGAATGGTTCTCCAAGGCTTCATGATGCTAGAAATTACTTTAATTCAACATCTCCACATTTTTATAATGGTGATGTTGCATACAGTATATTCAAAGTAAGTCTCATGTTCTTAAATTATTGTAGCCTCTAGTTTGTGCCTGGCTGAGTTTCTGCTACTTTGTGAAGATCACAAAGATTTCCCCATCCCTTTTTCCTGAAGCTGAAGGGGAGGATTTCTGGGTTGATGCCCTGGTTTCTGTGGCTATCAGTATTTATTTCCTTGGCTTACAGTGTGCTGTTCTCCAGTGACATTTACATTGTGCATTGTGACACTTCTTTTTCTAACCCCTTTTCCAGCTCCACTAAGAGAAAACACTTCACCGAGACCAATGTGGTCAGCCTGCTTCTTCTCTATAATCTGGGGATCTGTGTTCCTCTGACCATGTTCATCCTTGCAGCCACTCTGATGAGCATCTCTCTGAGGAGACATACCCTGCACATGGAGAGCAATGCCTGTGGCTCTAGGGATCCCAGTATGGATGCTCACTTGGGGACCATCAAAGCTACCAGCTACTCTCTAGTTCTCTGTATGTTCAATACAGTTGCTCTATTTCTTCATATGTCCAACATCTTTGGTGCCAACAGTTCCTGGAATATTTTGTGCAAAAGAATCATGGCTGCCTACCCTGCTGGCCACTCATTGCTACTGACTGTGGACAACCCTGGCCTGAGAAGAAGTTGGAGCCAGTTTCAGCACCAAGTACATTTTTATCTAAAAGAGTACTCTAACGCCAAAGCCCAAAAGTGCCAATGGACCTCTCCCAGTCATCTCTGCCTTTTCCTCACCTAAATCTTTCTCTTTCTTCTTTTCCTTCCCCAGCTTGACCTGATACTTTCACCTGTATAACACTTTCACTTGTATAACAAGTGATTTTCATTTCTCTTTTACTTCATGAACATAATCTTAATAATTTTGGGCGTATTATTTATGTGAGCTATTTGTACCCTTCCTTGTCCCGTGTAGAGCAGTGATTCTAGATACTGGCTACCCATTAAAATCACTAGGCAAGATTGTTAAAAATACCAATGTCTAAGTTCCACCATAGATCAATCATGTCAGAATTTCTGCTGCTGGAACTTAGACTACTTGTAGAATAATTCTGGCAATGCGGAAATGCAACCAGATACAGCCACCAAAATAGATGAAAGCTCTGAAGCTTGAGCTTCTGGCAACTGCTCTCTCTCTCTTTCCTCACATGCCTTTTAAGCTGATTCAGGTTATTCAGGAAGCTATCTGAGCAATAATTAGAAATACCTTTTATTCTCCATCTTCCAAAGACATAGCCTGAATAATCTGGAAACATGTAACAAAATTAACACTACATAAAACACTCTTCAACCTAAAAAATTTGCTGTTTAATAATTTTTCCAATATATAAATTATGGCCCTATATGTACATATGCAAAACAAACAAACTATATATATATTGTGTGTGTGTGTGTGTGTGTGTGTATATATATATATATATACATGTGTGTGTGCACGCGCACAGGAAGATTTTCTTTGAAGCATTATTAATTAATGAGAGAACTTTATATGCAAATTAAATATTATAAATCATTTCTTAAAGTGAAACAGATATGTGTGTCCTGAAATGAGCAATTTCTAATGTATTGTCAAATTCAAAAGTAAGGAGATATTCTATGATACCTTTCTTCTTTAAATTAATGCACATATGTTTCTGGTGTATAAAACTGTGTCCATAAAGTTTCGTGAAGGATGTGTCAAAAATGATTAACAGAGAATTTCTGAGTAGTAACCATTCGGTATCTGGGGATAAAGCATTTGCATTTCATCTTATTCCTTCCTGCATTATTTGAACAATTTAGAAAATGTATGCATTAATTTCAAAATTTTAAAAGGTTTATATTGATTTTTTTTCTACTACAAAGAGAATTAGTTAAGTAGAAAAGGTTTGAGGAAAAGGACTTAATTAGCCAACTGAGTCTCTCACTTTTTTATAAAAAATGCAAGCCCTCAAAATCATGAATTAAACATTTCACTCTCTTTTGTCACTACATCTAATTTTCCATTTTGTTTGCTCAAAGGCTGCCATGGAAATGTCATGGGCTTCCAACCCACTGACATTTCTATATTCTCTATTCCTCTATCAATTCTCTACACTTCCCTTCATGTTCAGTTTGAGTTACAGATTAATCACACTCACATGCTTAAGATTACTTTAAGTATTTACCAATGAAGTGACATTATGTCTGAGATTTGCTTTTAGATAATTCAGCAGAGGACAAGAGTGGAAAGTATCTGGTGAACCTCCAATGTCAACACTAAGAACTTGAGAGTAAAAATTTTTCAATTAATTTATTAAAAATTTAGCATATGAAAGCCATATTGAAATCCATATGCAAGAGGCATCTAAAAGTAGCACATTGAAAGCTGGATTCTTAACTAGTCTCTTAAAACACACTTTTCCTTTAATTTTCTCCAACTTATTAATATTAAATAGTACTGTAATGTTTTCCAAATCTGGGAACCAACTGTGGGTCTGTTTTTTCTCTCCCCTCTCCTCTACCATTCAACCAATCAGTTAATCATTCAGTCCTTTTATGTGATGTATATAACTAGAGGATTGTTCATTTGTTAACTAGACAAATATTGGCTGGACATCAACTACATGGCAGGCATTTTTCTAGGAGTCAAGTGTACAGTACTGAGCAAAATAAACAGGGCTTCGTTCATAATATATATGTGGGGTGGCACAGGATGAACAACTTGTTGTGTTTAATCAACTTAACCAGAAAAGAAAGATCTATGCAAGTAAGTAAGATTTAAAGAACAAATTATTTTAAAATTTGTAGTCCCAAGAATTTTGAATTTAGAAGAATAACTGCAAAATAAAACTAAGAAAATCAGAAGGTAAATACAATTCATTAAATGTGGATGGATATAGAAGGTGAAAACTCCTTAAGAGCAAAAGAGATAAAAGATCAGCAATAAAGTTAATAAAAAAATAAGTCTTCTACCCAAGACTACTTCAAATGTTCCAGAAGTAAATAGAGGATAGGTAAATAAGTAGAAAGTTAATGTCATTCGATGAATTAACATTTAGTATAACTTTGACACGAATGCCAACTTTTTCTGAACAAACTGATCATAAATATTATTTAGAAAAATAAATCAAACATATCTGGAAACAATCTGATAACAAAAAAAAAATGAATGTGGAAAGATTAACACCAAAAGAAAACAAACATGTTATAAAGCTACCATGTTGAAAATAGTGTGGTACTGGGCAATGAATAAGCAATGAAGCCTAACAGAAAATGAAGAAACATGAGAATTTAGTAGATAACAAAGTGATATTCTTGTTCCTCTTCTTTGCTCTGGAAGTAACTTTTTCAAAGCCCTTCACCCTCTTATTCTCTTCCTGACTTTGGGCTCCTCACCCTCACTCACATTTCATCATCACTGGGAATTCTCTCACTGAATATCTGAGTTATAACTCTCAACAATGTCCTAGATCTCATGTCTTGACATTTCTTTTATTACACCTTCCCTTATTTACTGGAACACATCTTCAAACCCCTGCCTCAAAGAAGTGACCATGAGAAGGTAATCTCTCTCTTTCTTTAATATTTGGAAATGTTTTTATTTTGTCCTCATTCCTGACTAGTAGTTTGGTTGAGCATATAATTCTAGGTCTAAATCACTACTCTTAAGTACTTATAAAATTTTTCACTATATTTTAGCATGATTTATTCATTCCTACTATTTGAAAGTCTAAAAACAACCTGTGCTTTTTTACTTTGAGGGGTTTTGTGTCTTCTTTTGCTACAAGTTTTTAGGAGCTTCTTTTTGCCCTTAGTAAATTATGAAGATGGTATTAGACTTGCCTGCAACAAAAAACTGACTACAGTGAACATGTGACACCTAAATTTTTTTCAACATAACATGATCTTAACACTGGAGACTCTGCCCCAGGAAGTGGTTAAGGGTGTGAGATCTCCCTAACTTCCTCTCTTACCATCCTCATCATGTTCGAAACTGTGGTTCATGATCACAGGATCCTAACACCCACAGATGCACCCCCTCTCTGCATGCCAGGGGGAGCTGTGGACATGGATGTCCCTGCTGAGAGATCCAGAGAAGAAATTGCTTTTCACCTGTAATTGCTCACACTTTCACACTAAACAAAATCAGAGTATAACAGTGAGGAAGAGGGGAGAGCAATTCTGGCTCTGGCAACCAATAGCAGCTTCACCTGGGAAAGCTGTATGAAGCCAACTGAGGACTAGCAATCAAAAGGCCATGTTTTCAGCAAGACCAAGAGGTTTTCTTCAATTTTTAAGTCCTTTCTTCCTCTCTATTTTCTCTAATCTCACTCTGAAATTACTCTCAGTCCTATTTTAGACCTCCTGGATTAAACATTTGTATCCCTGATCTCAGTTAACAATGCAGGAGCATTGATTCCTGCTCCAAGAAATCACTTTATCTTATTTTTAATAAAATTACATATTAACTGAAAATAATTTTAAATTATATTTTAATACCTAAAGCCTTTTTCTTCTTTAGTTTAATAATATCCTTATCTTATAGATGCACTACCGTTGCCTTCTCTGAGGGTACCATTTTAAGTATTTTAAGTGTTCTTTGACCTTTCCTTCTTTGGGTCATTTATGTTGAGTGTTTGTCTTAGTCTTTCTCTTTCTGGCCGTGGAGTTTGCTCCTATTTCTGATGAGCCTTGATTACTAATTCATGAAGAGGAAGGAAAATCTAGCTTACTAAGCAAATGCCACTTCTCAGTAGGTCATTCTCCTGAGTGGACAGACTGACTGGGAGCTAGCTCTGTTTTGTAAGAGGACAGTCCCAGGCATCAGAATTGGCTTCTCCTCACTGGCTTTCCAACCTGAGCCTGGAGATGGAAAATGTCATAAGAAAGAGTTTAATCCATGTGCAAACACTTACATGAGGAGACTTAGTTCTCCCTTGGAAACATGTTCAATTTCTCTGGAAAAGAATTGTCATTATGGGGTTGCCAATAGTTTGGAGATGCCATCACAGATGACTGAGCTTTAGTGATACCTTTGCTTATGCAAAGCCAGGAACCCTTTATCCCTGGAGCATCCATTTCAAAAGTCTAATCTTTGGTTCCCACAATATTTAAACACAGACAACCTCCTACTGACCAGCTCATCATTTGGGATGATAAAAATCCCCCAAGCGGACTTTCTTAAGGAAACTTTCGAACTGGACTATCATACCATTGCTCAAAGACTGTTTTTTGTTCAGTGTCACTGTTTTTCTCACTTGCTAGCTGACTGCTAATTCCATTCTGTGACTCCTAGGGAAAGTTTGTCACTCCTCAAATAGATTAAACCATGGTAGCTCATTCTCTTTCCTTACTGGTTTCTCAGAAAAGTTTCAGAAAACTTGAATTGACTAATGCTGATTAGTAGGCTGGACATGAGAGGTTGGCATCAGCAAGTTAAGTGATTGGACTCTTTTAAGTTAAGGTAACCATCCTGCGGGGCCTCTCAGCACACACTCCACGGGCTCCGAGCAAGTCCTTCACCATCATTGGGGTTTTTTCCCCAAAAGACAGACCTTAAGCCACCCCCTCCCCCACACCTAGCTGGGAAGTAGCTAGGAAGACACAGTGTGGTGACTTCCGGGGAAGACCAGGCGTGCATCAAGATTCTTTCCCACCAAACGAGAGGGTTCTGCCCAAGGAGCGCCACGAACACAAGCGGGGTGCTGGGGGCACCAGGGAATTGGGGAAGAGAGGAGCAGACTAAGTGGGAGAAGGTGAAAAGTGCCAGGCTGACCGTGGGGGTCACAGGGGAAAGGGGGTCACAACAGCACCCCTGCCGATGAGGAAGTCAGGGTAGCTTGTGCGCTGGCCTGTAGACCCGACCGAATCACCCCCTCCCCTCTGCTCTCATCCCCGCTCACCCCTCAGGCATGTAGACAGCTGGCAGGCTCAAAGCCAGGCAGAGAATGGTGAGAGGGGTGAGCACACACAAAACCAGTAAGTGGCCCAGAACTGTTCCCGCCCACCAGGAGGACAGGGTGGGGATGGGGGATGGTGTCAGTACTTCTAAAATATAAGTTGCTTGTTCACACACTTGCCTTGCAAATTTTTCAATTCACCCCTACTTGAGATGGGAGCGGACCTGGGATTGCCAGGTGGATACATCCACATAGCAACATCCGAAACCCTACAAGAGGATTTGAGCAAAGTCTCCTGGCAAGGCCCAAGCCCAGGAAGAGGTAAGACTGGGAGCTCAGCAGTGCTGCTGGTGTCAGAAACAGGGAGTGGACTTTGAGGCCACAGAGAGGGCCCTGGAAGGGCTGGGAACTCCCTCCCCTCCCAGGGGTCTCTGAGCAAAGACCCCCTACTTATTGCTCAAGCCACGGCCCTCCCCACACAAGCCCAGACCCTCCCCATACAAGCCCAGACCCTCCCCATACAAGCCCAGACCCTCCCCATACAAGCCCAGGGCTTACAAATCTGTGTCTGTCTCCCATCTCACTCCTGACCCCTCAGCCCTCTCTACCCACCGAGTCGCTCCCCTTATCTGCATTTTGGTCCAAGATTTTTGCTAAGCCAGTGGCTATGTGTAACGATCTTCTGCCTTGCCAGTGAAAGTTCTTCAGTTCTGAGAACTTATCGATTGGCATTTGTAGCTGAGATTAAAAATAACCCCAGCAGACGGCCGGTAAAATGCAGCTTTCTGAGACCTGCAGACCTTGAGAAAGCAAAATGATCCTGGTGCCGCTGGCACTGACACTGCATTTGCATCGCTGTCCAGGCCCTGGGCTGCAAATCAGTCCATGGCTCATTCAAACCGTGACCCTGGAACAGGCTGAAGCGTGGTGGAGGTGGACTTGGAAGGAGGAATGGAAAGGACACAGTTCTGGAAACGAGGACTGCAGAGTCCAGGGCACCATCAAAGCAAAGGGCAGGCGGCAGGGTCCCCAACTGGCTGACCCTCAGGTGACCTTAAATTTAGTGGCGCACCCCTTTCCCTTTCTCTTAGTAGGTTTCCCCCACCCAAAGATACATTCCACTGACAAGTAACTGCATCTGTTTAAATAACGTCATCACCGCCGCCACACTTTCAGGCCTGGAACAGGACAGAAGTGACTTCACAGGACACACCCACTTCCAGCAGGCCCTGACTAATGCCACTTGTTCAAGGTGGCTTTTGTTTGGTTACAACAGGATGAGAAGAAAGAAACCCCTGGCCATGCCCCACAAGATCTCAGCACCCCAGGACCCGGTCTCAGGATCTCTGGTTTCACTTAAAGTTGCAGTTCCGGGCCCTGGGTGAGCGCTTCCCACGGTGATGGTAAGAGCCTGCTGTGGGAGCAGAGCAAGTCCAGCTTCTTGCCTAGGAAGCAGGTTTTCCCGAAATCACTTCTATCTGCCCATCTGAACGAGGCAGTTCTGGCCCTGCAAGCCCTTATCTGGCTCCCTAAACACCGCATCATATTATAGGACTCAGCAATTTAAAGATTAACCAGACTCTAACCTCAGGGATCCTCACTACTGACAGCTGAGGTGCCACCACCCCCAAAGAAGCCCCCCGGGGGCCCCTTGGCAGGAGAAGGGAACACGGGGAGCCTCAGGAACGCGGGCAGCCCGCTGACCGGAGCTGGCCACAAGGCCCGCTGGAAACTAGATGGAAGGCGGGGAGGTCCTGGGAATCCCACACCCTATTCATGGCCCATTTCATCGCTCCCCCTCCCCTAGAATTCTCATTTTTGCTGGACAAAACATTCTCTCAAGATGTATGTGGAGGAGGAGAAAGGCACACACCTTTATTTCCTCATTTCTCCAACTCTCCAGTCAACTTCGACACCCCCAGTAGAGCAGGTGTGGGCTCCCCTGTAGGCCCACCCAGGGTGTGACTCCCCTCTTGAGAAAGGCAGTGGCTTACTGCTGTCTGGGCCTGGGTGTCACGGCCTGGGGGTGGAATATGGACAGCACAGGGGGGAAGAAGCGGCAATAGAATTTACAACTCCCATGAACACGCCCAAGTTCCAGCCACCTGCGAACAGACAAACCTGAAAGTCACAGGTGTGCAGAATGCAGCTAGGACAGGGGAGCAACAGCCATCTCTTCTGGGGATCCCAGAATGGAGACGGACCCCCCAAGACAAAACAACTGCAGAGCACAAAACTAATAATATGAACCAGTTGGCAGAAGATGGTGCGTGGGGACTGGGGGATTTTACTGTGTTGCTGCAGCAGAAAAGGCAGCTGGCCACTCTTGAGGAGAATCTGGGTCAGCAGCTGGGCCCTTCTGTGGCAATCTTACCCTCCTCACCGAATGAGGACGCTTCATGCCCCTCCACAAACCCTGAAGGCCTAGCACCAAAGGACCCGCCAGGCCCTCTGGGCCACACCCCGAGCCTGAGAGTCCCCTGGCAGAGCTGAGCCCATTATAATCTCCATGCAGGGTGCCCAGCCTGGAAAAAGAAGGTGCTCTACTGCTCCCTCCCACCTGCTCCCCTCCCTCCTTCCTTCCGTCTCTCTCCCTCCCGCTCGCCCTCCCTCCCACTTTCCTTCCTTCAACAAATTACTTACTGAAAACCCAAAATGTGGCCAGGCACAACCTCCATCATGTAGAAAAGAAGACTTTAAAATGTAAAAGCAATGTAAAGGTGAAAGGTACCTGGCCCCAGGCGGACAGCTGTAGGTTCACGGAGAGACAGAGTCCCACCTCAGGTGGATGCTTCTGCCCATCTACCTGCAGAAAAAGGAAAACAAATCATTTTTTCAATTTTTTGCCAGGCACTTCTGGGTCTGATTTGGGCTGAAGACACCATTGCCCCCCCCCCCC